TACTTTACAAATCATTTCAGATATAGTGGTGAACAAGAAAATCATGGTTTCCCAGTTTAATGGTGATTGACAAAGCAAGGCATACAGACAAGCAAACACATAAACACACAGTCACTTCTATCTTTCTATCTAGAAAGAGAAAGACAGAGACACAGAGAGAGAGAGAGAGAGAGAGAGAGAGAGCTGGAAGATTGAGGCAGAGAGAGATTGAGGGGGGAGTGAGAGGGGAAGATCTTACCTTACACAACTTTGAGAGCTGGTTAAACAGTCTCTGTAAAGTTTTGCCTTCGTGTCTGATTTTCATTCTGGTGCCGGAACTTGAAGTCTAAGCTGTCGGTGGTTGGGAAGGTATGAAGGATGTGAAGTATGGAAGAGCAAAAGAATTCAGGAACTCAGGAGCCCATGAAGGTGTACTGAGACCCGCTCCAGTTCTTGTTTTCTCTGGCTTGATGGGTACGGATATTCTGCAGAAAAGTTCTTCCTCGTGGGGAGCAAAGTACAAACAACTGACCCAAAATTTTGGAGATGCTGAAGGAGAATCAAGGGAAAAGTGGAAGTTTTAGTCCTAATGGTTGTCTCACTTCAACAAGCAAACTAAGAAGTGAGGTTTATGAACTATAAATGGCTGCTACTTCATTTGTTTCTCTGAATCTCACACTGGAATCTCTCTTGTGACCTATACTATTGGAAACGTATAGGAAAGAGAGTTCCGGGGGATGCAGTTTAGTCTAGTCAAGTAGACAAAATACAAATTCACCACAGCTTAATGATTGACTATAAGTTAATCAGACATTACTAACCATAACATTTTGTCAATTGAGAGCCCCAAATGCCAAAAACTATTATCTTAATCCTTATATTAGGGACAGGTGCAGGTTGGCAGCACTAACCACAGGAAAAGAGGAAGGGACAAACATGAGGAGGGCAATGAACATTTAGAACCTAACCCACAAGGGCAGGAATTTGGGATTGGGAACTTTTCCAGACCAGGAGCATGTACAGAAACCAGGAACTCATGTCTAAATGTGAGCTTTTTTCCATTACCATGTATTAGCATGGTAAAAAACACACCCATCACCACCATGGCAGTTTACAATTGTCATGGTAACTCCTGGAAGTTACCCTATAAGGATGAAATTGGGGAGTGCCCTTAGCTTTAGGAACTCTCCATCCTTTTCCCAGGAAAGTAATGAATATTCTACCACCATTAAGCATATCACAAAGAGTAAATATAAAAGTAGAAGTGTAGTAAGACCCAAGCATCTATGTTAACAAGCCTGCAATAAAAGCTGCTTGTGTGAAAATGCTAAGTGTCTGGCTTGAAGGAGTCACCAGCCGGGCCTGTGCTGGGGGAGATGACAGACACTTAGCCCTCAAAAATATCAACCCTGAGTGCTAGCAGAGATGGCGGCTGCCGCAGCTAGTCGGGGAATTGGGGCAAGGCTGGGCCTGCGTGAGATTCGCATCCACTTATGCCAGCGCTCACCCGGCAGCCAGGGCGTCAGGGACTTCATAGAGAAACGCTATGTCGAGCTGAAGAAGGCGAACCCTGACCTGCCCATCCTAATCCGCGAATGCTCGGATGTGCAGCCCAAGCTTTGGGCCCGCTACGGTGAGCGCGGGACGCCGGGGATCTGGGACTCAGGTGGGGGAATGAGGGTTCGCAAAGAGCAGGAACTGCCCAAAGTCGTGCAGAAACCTGTGGACAAACTAGAACTCGGACTTCAGCCTTGCTATTGGCCTTGTTGCCAGGAAGAAACTTAGATTCGCACAGTTATGTGATGCTTTGTATCCCAGGCAGCATCATATGCAGGCTGACCAAGTCCTGCATAGGGACCAGGAGCTGATGTTTTTGTAGTTAAAAATGGGCTTCAGATAGAGAAGGGATGCCAGTCAATTCCCGTCAGTGTACGTCCTTCCAAATAGCACGTAGCCAGTGTCAGTCCAAGTAGTGTGTGAGAATCTCAATAATACTGAGAATTAATGCTAGGCCCTGCGCTGAGTGCTTTCCTGCCTAATTCCTATTTAATATTCATTAATCATATGAGGGAGTGGATTCTTTTTTTTCACTGTAGAAATCAGAAAACAGAATAAAAACTTTATGGACTATACCTAAAGTAATGCAGCTAGGATGTAACAGGATTGAGCCTTTACATTTGTTTCCCTTTCCTAGAATGCCCCTACCTCCCAGACTGCCATGGCTTGCTCCTTGTTATTATTCAGGTTATTATTCTTGTCAGAACTTACATGTTGCCGCCTCAAAAAGGCATTCCTTGACCAGTTATGTAACATTGCCTTTTGAGCCTTTATCATATTATCCTCTCCCTATTTATTACAATCTGAAAATTTCTTATCATGTCACCTAACACATTGTAGGTATACAATAAATATTTATACATTTGCTAGAATACCTTAGGGGAAAAAATTAATACATGCTGAATAACGGGATTTTAATTACAGTTTTTAACTGTACTGTACCCTAGGAATATCTGGGGTGGGGAAGTCACGCTTAAGGAAGATTGGTTCTAATAGTGGACATCTGTAGTATGCCACATGCTAATGGAGCAAAAGAGTTCTTCCAAAAGCCAGTAGACTACAAGGGGAGACGGACACAAGTAATTTCTGCTAGGTATTATGCTAGATGGCCTACAGAGCCCAGAGAATAGGCACCCAGCCAAGGGTAGGCCCACGCAATACACTATTCACAGTGGTTAAACATTCTACTAAGTGAGGTATCCCAGGAATGGAAAAACAAGCACCACATGTACTCACCATCAAATTGGTATTAGCTGATCAACATTTAAGTGCACATGTAAGAATAACATGTATTAGGCTGGGCGCGGTGGCTCACGCCTGTAATCCTAGCTCTCTGGGAGGCCGAGGCGGGCAGATTGTTTGAGCTCAGGAGTTTGAAACCAGCCTGAGCA